GGCCTCTGGCTCTACGGCAACCGCTTCGAGGAGTTCCCGCCCGCGCTGCTGCGCATGGGCCGCCTGCACATCCTCGACCTCGACCGCAACCGCCTGGGCGGCTTCCCCGACCTGCACCCGCTGCGCGCGCTGCGCGTCTTCTCCTACGACCACAACCCCGTCACCGGGCCTCCGCGCGTCGCGGACACCGTGTTCCTCGTGGGCGAGGGCGCCGTCGAGCGCATGGCGGAGCGCGACGAGCCCACGCACCGGCCTCCGCCCCGGCGCCCAGCGCGGGCCTTTGAGGATGAGGAGGAGGAAGACCTGCTCATAGGCGGCGCTGGTTCCCGGGCTCTGGGCGCCCCCAGGGGCAGCCTCCGCGCCCTGGAAGCCGCTCCACGACTGGGCACCTGAGCCTATGTTCTGGCTGACGGGCTTCAGCCACTCTGAGAGGAGGGGCTCTGGGAAGCTTTGGCTGCTTAGGCCTGCGGGACCGGCGGGCCCCTACTTGGGGTAATGGAGCGGCCACTTTTGGCGAGTTGTCGAGCATAGGCAGGGCAGGGGCGCATCTTCAGACACTCCTAGGTAGTGAGAGGACTGACTATCCCCTGGCTGATCTGTGGGCAATTGTCAGACCAAGAAGTTTGGGCTGGGTCCGGTCCCGGATGGAGCCACTGATAACAGAGGCGCCAGCTTCCACCTGGAACCAGGGTCGCTGAGGGCTACAGAATCTTCACGTCTCGCTGAGTCTGGATGCAGGGCGCCCACCACCCTCCCTCCTTCTGGGGTTTGGGTCTCCTAGGCCCACCCTTTCTAGGGCAGGAACTGCTACCTCTGGGGTGGACTGCGTGCCTGTGTGGGGTCGGACTGCCCTTGGGAGGAGGGCCTGGCCCAGGAGCAGGGGCTTGGAGTGGGGCTGGTGCCCGGGACAGAAGTGGGAAACAGATGGGGGCCCCAGCACCGAAGCTGCCCTCACCCCTCCACCAGAGCTGAGTACATACCTCCCTCCCCGGCCCCCTGAGATTCGTATGGGGCACAGAAGGCAGGGGGTCACACCCACCCTATTCTGTTATCTTCTCCCAGCCTCCCAGCATGTGCCTGGAATCTTGCTGGGAAGAGGGAGCTCCCCCTCCACTCCCCACCCCATAGCCTGCGCCTTCCAACTGTCAAGTTTGAAAAGAAGCCACTGTGCCTCCAGGGCCTCCTGCACCGCAGAGAGGGGCTCTCTGCTCTGGGAGGCTGCTCAGCGCCTCTCCCACAGCCTGCACTCTCCTTTCCCTTAAATGGGCACAGCCAGGGTGGCTGGCACGGGACTGGCACTCTGTACCTCCACTCCGTCACCAGGGACAGCCCCGAGGGGGTGAGGAAAGGGGCCTTGCTCTGCAATTCCCAGAGCCAGATCTTCCTCATCCAAGCAATAACGGGACGAGGGAGCCAGGGCCAAGGACACTCAGGGACACTGTTGGGGCCGGAGCCCCACATGGTAATGTTTTCTTTAGGGAGAAGAAAAAGCAACTGGCTGTAAACATAAATTATATTTCTTGGAGAAAGAATGTGCATTTCCCATGTGCCTGTTTATTTATAATCCCTGGGAGCACCGGAACCCACTGCTGTGGGGACCCTGGACTCCCTCTGGCACTGCCCCCGCCCCACGTACCTCCCGTTCCATGTCAGACTGACCCTGCCAGCTGTTGTGTGCTGTCTGGGGAACAAGTACTGTCGTCAGCAGTGGCGTTTGCCCCGCGAGGCTGCTGTCCTGTCTTGCGGAATCTCACCGCTTAATTCTGCAGAAGATTTTGTATGTTTTTGAATCACCCTCAAGCTGGGCCGATCGTTCTCTATTCTTTCACTGGCGCTGCCCCTCCACCCCCTCCATGACTCTAGACTGGACTCCCTCCATCTCTCTCGCTCTGTTTTCCTCTTTCTGTCTCTCTCCTTCTTAGTCTCTTTTCGCTCTGTTTTGGCATTTCTTTCTCCCCTTGTTGTTCAGGAAAAGAATAACGATTTAAAGAAAGGAAGAAAGCTGTAAAACCCCAAGCCTGGAGGCCCATCTCATGGGAGAAGATCCTGCCAGGCCTTCATCACCATGGCAACAGGGGCATACCAGGCCAAAAGGTCAGGCCCTGCCCAGAAGCTCTGCGAGTACACAGGGCTGGGCCCTGGCTAAGGAGGAGGCTGGGCATGGATCTGGGGCAGTCAGCTTGCAAATAAGAGTGAAGGCCTTGAATGGACAGAAAGAGGAAGTGGGTGGGCAAGATCAGAGGCTGCCTCCTTCCCGAGGAGGAAGCGGGTCTGGGGCCTGGCTGCTGCAGACCTAGTCCCTCCCATAGCTCCCCCTGTTGGGGTTCGGTCAGGGCCAGTGGGCCTTCCAGGGTCTGGAAACTTGGAGAAAGTAATTTGATGATCACTCAGGTAGGGGAGAAGCTGCAGCTGACTGGGGACTGTCCTCTTGACCTGCCACTTGTATTGCAGCACAGGGAAAATACCCCTGGGCCTGGAATCAGAAGAGGGGTTCCAGGCCTAGTTCTGCTGTTGACCAAGTGATCTTGAGCAAGTCACGACCCCCCTGGGCCTTAGCTTCTTCATCTGTACACGAGGAGTTGGGCTTATTTATTTATTTACTTTTATTTTATTTTTTCCCAAGATGGAGTCTCTCTCTGTTGCCCAGGCTGGAGTGCAGCAGCATGATCTTGGCTCACTGTAACCTCTGTCTCCCGGGTTCAAGCGGTTCTCCTGCCTCAGTCTCCTGAGTAGCTGGGATTACAGGTGCGTAATCTGTAATCAGCCCGGCTGATTTTTGTATTTTTAGTAGAGACGGGGTTTCACCATGTTGGCCAGGCTAGTCTCGAACTCCTGACCTCAGGTGATCTGCCTGCCTCGGCCTCCCAAAGTGCTGGAATTACAGGCGTGAGCCACTGCACCTGACCCAAGGAATTGGGTTTATTTAGATCTGATGCTGCAGCTCAATACTTCATGCAAGGGGTTTGTCTACCTTCCTTTATGCAAACCTTAGACACAGGAGCAGCAGGGTGCAGAGGCAGCCATGGTCACTTGCAGTAACTGCTGTCATTAGTGAGCTCAGGTCTCCCTCTGTCTGGTCTGTTTCCCTGTACTTCATCCCCTGCTGCTCTCACCTGAGGACTCTAGGTTGCGGCAAAGTCCTGGCAACGAGTCCCCCTGGGACATCCTGAGGCACTCAGGGCCCTACACTTTTGCTTTGTCAAACGTGGCACCTGCAGCCCTGACTACTTGCCAGCTGAGCAGGAGCTCCTCCGAGGAATGGGAATGGGCTCTGTCCCGGGCTCTGCTACTCACTTGCTCTACACCCTCAGAAGCCAGTCCCTTCTGGAAAGTTTGAATTTGGTTAAATTGGGTACTGATGCCATAGAGCGTGACTGAGGGTTTCTGTCTCCATGTGAGTAGGGAGGGAGCTACTGCCAGGGACAGCTGGGTGTCACAGCTCCCCTTGGTGACAGAGAGAGCACTGTATTAGGAGTCCTAGCATTCCCCCCCTCCCACAACTTCCTGTGATTCCCACTTGGCCTCCGGGGAGCAGGGGGCAGGGGAGACTGGAAGGGACGCTTTAACAATGGGATGGGATGGATGGGCTGCCTCTGCGGTTCCCCACATCATTCCGGGACAGTCAGAGGTGGGCAGGCCATGGGGGAATAGGGTAGGGAAATTCCGCAAGAGTCATGTTTGTACCAGGGATTCAGGGGCAAAGGCCAAGTTAGCTCGTGGTCAGAGCAAGAAGCTTCCTTCCTGCTGTGGGAACCAAGTGGAGGGAAAGGCAGAGGAGGCGGCAGGGCAAGAAACAGGGTGGGGAGGGCGAGTGACTCACCCATAAGCGGTGTGAGGACTCCCAACCCAGTGCTCACAGAAGAGCTTCGTAGTCCCTGGCTGGCAGTCAGGTCTGTGAGTGGAATGGCTGAGAACTGCACCTGTTCTTGAGGCCCCCGCCCCCACCAGCCTCCAGGCAAGCACCCCTGCTGGCCAGTGTGGCAGCGGAGACCCAGGGCTGGAGCTTTTTCCAGCCTCGTGAATGCCATTCCTCACCCCCTTCCCACCCACCCTCATGGGACTCAGGAAAGGGGGAGAACAGGTTCTTGGAGCTGGGGGCCCTACCCAGAAGTCCCTCCCTGCCTCCGGTGCCACCACACAGGCTTACTCAGCCATCTGTCCCAAAGCTTCCTCAAGACACCTGGCGCTCTTGTTCTGAAGATGAACATTTATTAGCACACCCGGGCGTGCCACAGGGAACACGTATGCAGACAGGGATCCCTGCCCAGGGGGCTCACAATCTAAACAAGACACGACACACACACACAGGACACAGACACGGGGAGCGGGGCGTCTTCACGGGAAACAGATGGTCAGAGAAGCCACGAGCGGGGGCATCGGCGTGCTCAAGCCTTGTCTTTCTGGTTGTCTTTGCGGGGGGAGGGAGAGGAACGCAGGACGTAACCCAGGATGGCCTTCCAGAAAGTAGCAGTATGGGGGGGACTCACAGGAGAAAGAAAACACCAGAGGGCGGTGGTCCCAGGTACAGGGAGAGGTGGGGGAGCATCTCAGATCAGGCGTGGATGAAGACAGACCCAGAGAAGTAAAAACAGAGGAAGGCAAAAAGTCCAGGGAAGGGCCCGAGCCAGCAGCAAGAGACTGCCACCTGTGCTGGGCCTGGGCTGTCTCTGACTTCAGGCTCCGTTTTCCGGGGCTGCTCTCACAGAGAGAGCCTGAACAGAAGCTCTGGCCAAGGGCGCCCCTGAGGCTACTTACCTGACCCCAGGGCTTCCTCCGATCTCTGGAACAGAGACCAGAAGGGATATCTAAACCAGGCTGTGGGGAAACGAGAGACAGACAGCTTTGGGTGGGGTACTTAGTGCAGTTCCAGGAGGCAGCTGCTGGCCCCAGGTGCTGGGAGCAGGGGGCGGATGGGATGGCCCGCTTCACTCCTGGCAGGGCCAGGGGCCAGCAGGTGGACACATGACAAAGGGGATGTGCTCGTTCCTTTTGTGCCTGTGTCTGAAACAGATGTAGCACCTTCCTTCTGAAGTACCCTGAGAGCTTCGGGGGCTCAGCTTCCCCTGGGCTGGGTGGGGAAGAAAGGGCAGGGGATGGGGATGGTTATTGCTTTGTCGTGGTCAGAAGAAACAGGTGGAAGGAAGAAAAGAGCTTGCCCAGGGCCACAGAGGCTGGAGAAGGGATTACAACCCAGCTTCCCACACCTCAGGCTGGAACCTGTTCTATTGAGTGGAAAAGACTTTTCTAATCCTAAAGAACGAAAGTAGAAGAGGGCTGAGAGAAGCCATAGTTCCAGCCAACAGACACAGAGCTCCTTATCTTTCCTTTTCCCACCTCAGGGACCAGGAAGGAGGCGCTGGCTTGAAACTACCCGTGGGTGGTGGTGGGAAAACTGGAGCGTCCCCCTTTGGTTTGTCTGAGCTGCCTTGAAGGGTGGTGAGGGTCCTCTGGGAACTGAGGGAGGGGACGTCAGGCTGGGTGACCCTGGAGGGCACCTCTGAGGCCTAGAGGACTCTACTCCCAAAAAGCTTTGCGTCAGGCCTGATCTGGGAGATGTAGCTGCCTCTCTGCTTTCTGGGAAGCCGGTGGGATCACATTCTATAGAGATCTGAGGATGGGCTGGATGCTCAGGAAGGGCCTGGTCACCAGTGAAGTCAAATCCCAAAGGTGACACACTGAGGGGGAGGCTCAGCCCCGGGGCCCCCATCCCCTTCACCCCACTGCCTCTGCCCCTGGGGAGGTGAGGGAGGGCTGGGACCCAAGGAGGAAACAGCCAAGGCCCTACTTTTTCACGATCCTTTATTAATCAGAACAGGCCTTGCCACAAAAAGCAGGACCCATTCCCACAAAAATATGATTTTGCAAAGAGGAAATCTTGCTGGCTTAGAGGGTATGTGTGGTGGAAAAATTTTGTATGGTTCTTTTTTCCTGTTTTTTTTTTTTTTTCTTCAGTTTTTCTTCATTTCTCTTCGCTGCAAAATTTTTTTTTTTTTTTTTTTTGGTGATGGTGGGTTTTTGTTTTATTTTTTATAAAACATTTTCGCTCAAGGACATACAAACAGTGGCCACCGATCCCCACCCCTGGGGGACTCAGGGGAGGCCCCTGGCTTGTTTGTGGCTGTTTTCCTCTGTCCCTTCCCTGGCATCTGGTGCCGGAGGGCAGGTGTGGGGGTCTTGGGGCAGGTGGAATTTATACAGCAGTTTCATGGGGAGATGGCCACAAGAAAGGAAACCAGGACAAGATAAGGACTAAGTCTAGGGCACCCACAAAGATGGCAGATGAGGCCCATGAAGGGACCTGCAACACAGTGAAGAGACAGATGGGCCTGGGTTGGCCTCGGCTAGCTCTGGAGGCTCTGTGGGGGAGGGGCAGGTGGGCCTTGCTGTCAGGATTTGCTAATTACACTTTGCTCACGGGTAGCACCTTCTCTCTTGAGTCCTCCTGCCTTGACCCTCAGGTCAGGTGATGGTGGCCTCACAACCTCCCCTGTGAGGTAGGTGAAGTATTATTACCATCATATTACAGATGGGGAAACTGAGGCCCAGGGAGTGCGGGTGACTTGCCCAAAGTCCTCGGATGGTGACAGGGCTCCAAGTGCCCTCCCCCCACCCTCAAGTTCCCCCATTCCCTGCTCTCCTATCACCCTAGACCACCCCTGCCCCATCCCATACCACCCTTGCCTCCCGTGCTAGCCTACTCAGCCCTTGGCCCACCGCTTGCCGCCCTGACATAGCATCCCAGAGCTCCACCTGCACGTGGGGGGGCTGGGGAAGCCCAAGCCTGGTCGCCAATGTGCCTGGATGGGGTCTGGTTGGGAAAAGACCCCTGCCAGGAGATGCTCTCTGCATAGGATTGGCTAAGAGCTCCATGGGCGGGGCTCGGGAAAAGGTGGAGCCATTGCCCCGTCCACTCGATACAAGTTGGTTGGATTCCCAGGGGGCTCCCTAGCAGGCGAAGGGGCCTGGGAGGCAGGGGCTCGCTCACTGGGCAGTCTTCCGCGGGGCAGGCGGGTGGTGGTGGGGGGACAGGAAACCGAGGCGGATCCAAGGGAGGGGTGGAGAAGGGCAGATCCCCTCCTCCACTCAAAACTTCCCACCACGCCCTCTCCCACATCCACGTGGGCTCGGGGTCGCTGCCCTCCCGTCCCTGCTGGGGGCCGCTCCCCAGCCCGCCAAAGAGGAGGGTGCAGTTGGGGCCGACCCCATTTTAAGCAAAGCTACAATACAGAAACATTTGGATTTACAAGGAACGTGGGTGACTATTTGCTTTACATTAGCATTCTTCACTCTACAAAACGATTCACCTACTATGTATGATGTTCTTCCAGATCCCAGGGAGAGGAAATGGTGGGGGTGTGAGATTCAATTTAAGAAAATTTCGCTATGGGCAAAAGGCGACCCGTCTACTGCAGCAAGCAGAATGCTCAGCTCAAGGGGAAGCCGACCGAAGGAAAATGGTTCCCAAATGCCTATGCTCTCCCCACGCCCTGGATGTGGGGACCCTATTCAGAGTCCCCTTCTTCTCTTTGGGGTGTCACAGGCCCATCCAGCGTGGAAGTGTGGGCTGACCAAGCCACAGACTGTGGGGGCCTGGCGCCACCTGGCGATGGTTCTTGGAATGTCAGGCCCAGGCTCATGGACCCCCAGGTTTGGAGGCTTTGTCACCAGCTGGGTCTTTTATCAATACCAGGACCAGCGTGAGGATGAGAGGGCTTAAGCAGGGATCAGCCTGAAATCTGCCATCTCCAGGGGGAAGCCAGTTCTAGTCTCATCAGTGGCTGAGGCAGAGAAACCACGGCTTCTTTGTGTGTGGCAACCTCAGAACTCTCAGAACCTTCGTCTTCTCCCTGCCTCCTTTCCCTGCACTGTGAGTGAGCCAGGCAGAAGGAGCTGCTCCTGGGGACCAGGGAGTGGGGAGGGTGAGAAGACAGTCCTGGAGAAGGTCAGGTGATGGAAGATCAGAGACCACGCACGATGAGAGGGAATGAATGGAAGGCCTACAAGCATCGGGGGATGGAGGGGTGAGGAAAGAAGGGTGGGGGTCTGCACAGGCAGGGAGAGACGAGGAAGGGCAGGGAAGCTGGAAAGCATGGAGAACAGGGCGATGTGGCTGCGTATGAGGTGTGGGAAGCTGGCGGGGGGTCTTTTGATGAAGGAGTTAGGGCAAAACTAGTCAAGGCTCAGGACCCCTTGAGAAGGAAGGGAGATGAGTCCTGGTGGAATGCTATGCACACAGTAGGTGCCTAAAAGGTGTGAGTCAGTGTTCAAGAGATGAAATTGCTGAAGAAGGAGCTATTTCAGATTCTGAGCAGAAGGGGGCACCAAGGGGAGAAGGGGAGGAGATGGGGGGATGGCAGGAGGCAGCCCAGCTCTCAGCCCAGCTCCAGCATCTGCCGCTCTTCTGTTCCTGACCTCTGCCTCACCCTACCCCACTCAGCCCTACGGGCCTCTCCTCTCACACTCCCGGCCTCCAACCCTGCCTGGCCTTCACGAAACCTGCCTTCTCCGCATAGTCCTCCGCACTTCCAGGCCTCTGTCCCCACGCACACACACAATGGACACAATACAAGTACAAAGGGCCGCGGCTCCAGGACCCAGGAGCGGGCTAGATACTGTCTTCGGCATTCAGGGCCCAGCCGGCACCTGAAACTGCCCTGGGGACGGGCCTCTCCTGGCCAGACTGGGGCCAAACGCCTCAGCCTCCCCTCCCCTGGGTCCACCTCGGGGGCTGGACAGGGAGTAGCCTCTCTCCACTCCAGGTGCTGCCTTAAAGAAAACGAGGGACCATGCCCACCTGGTGGGCCTCTGGAGGGGTCTGCCTGTCTGGCCGTCTGGCTCTTGAGGTCCCCCAACTTCTTTAGTATTAGTAAGTCAGGAAGAAAAGGGGCAAAGCAGGAAAATGCCTCCCAGAGCCCCTTCCCCCAAGTTGGACCATGGGGGACGGGGCTGGTACTTCCTAGACACGGGGCCCAGTTGAGTCCTGGGACCCTCCCTGGCTGAGCCCTCAGGGTCCTCCCCTCCCTATGGCAGGGGCTCAGGCCGGGCGTTGTGCATAAAGTGGTGAGGGCATGATGGGGACCCGGGCCCTTGGCCCCCTGGGCCTCCCTTGGCCCCACTCAGGCCTTCAGCTGGTGCCACTGGGCCACGGGCTGCCGGGGACGGGCAATCATGTCCTTCCAGTGCTTCACCTCCCCTGGCCCGCTCTTCCAGGACAGGTAGATCTGGGGAGAAAGGGGAGAGGATGGCATTGGCACAGGCTCCAGGGCACTGGCCCTTTCCCCCACAGGGGTGACACCCCAACTCCACCATGATACCCTAGCCTGTGGCCCCCCAACCTCCACATGCTGTGACAACCTACTCCACAGAGGCACCCTCCTCCCTCCCTGGCCAGCCTGATCTATTTTTCTAGTTGTCTACCCCTACACCTCCAAGTCTGGGCACGCCTGGCCTCTTGGAATTAGACTGCCAACCTACTTTGCGGTGGGGTCTGGAAGGTGGGGGTGGAGGCAGTTCGTCTCCACGGCCTTCCCTGCCCTATCTGTTGGGTGCTGTCCAGCCCCCGTTAATTATAATTGTTCCCAGCTCCTGGGCACTCGCTGCATGTGAGTACTGAGCTAGGGACTTATACACACAGATCATCCAATCCTACAACTGTGAGGTAGGGTTATATGATCATCTCCATTTTTCAGATGGGGAAACTAAGGTACAAAGAGTTAAGAGACTTACCCACAGTCACAGTGTTTATAAGTGGCGCAGAGGGACTGAAATCCAGGTCTTTGGAGCTCTACGCTACCGGCCTAATCCTGCTTCGCAGCCTCACGGGTTGCATGCATGAATCCCCCCGGAACCCCCAGGATGGGCCCCGCTGACCTCAGCTTTGGGACTTGGGGACGATTAAGAGTATGAGCATTGCCCCCATTGCAACCTCAGCCCAGCATGATACCTACAGCCTTGGATGATGCCAGGCAGACAAGGGGCAGACTCTTGGCTTCCAGGGACTGAGCAGGAGCCGGGAGTCAGAAGGATTCAGAGATCCTTAGGCTCCATAAGTTACCCAGGCCAAAGTGAGAACAAATCCATGTTTGCTTTGGTTCAGCCAACAGAAGGTAGGACTGTTTCAAAAGGAGCCCTAATCGGTATCTAAGGGACACCCAACTCCAAAAGGCTAAGCTTCAAAAGAACATCAAAGTAGATATGGTCACTTGGCCTTTGGGCTGAGCTGGTCAAAGGGGCATCGGCGGGACCTGAACCCTGGCCAGGCAGGGGTGCATACTCTCTCTGGAGTATGAGTGGCAATGTCCTGGGGAGTTGTCCCACCTGCGACCACAGATTGGCCAGTCATACTCCCCGTGCCATACCGGCAGGCAGGGCTAGCTCTCCTCTTTCAGGCCAGACTGCCTCCTTCACCCCAGCAGGTGAGTTCTCCATTCCCATCTGTCTGAGGGTTGCCTCCAACTCAGCTCCCTTCCCTGTGGGTATCCAGTCCCCCTTTCCCTTTCCCCCACACAGGGTAATGCCCAGGTGTGTGCCCCTCACTCACTCCTGGCATCTCCCCTTCCCCCATGACTGCCCTGAGCACTGGTTCCTCACATGGTCCTGGTCAAACGGCCCTGCCTGAATGGATATACATGCCCCTTTATTATCATACTAGCTAACATGCGTTCCAAGTCCTACACTGTTTAGTGAGCTGTTTAGCTCACCTGTGCGATCTTACTTAATCCTCCCGGCGCATTGTGAGGGTAGGACCGTCCTACTCTCGTTTTGAGAGGAGAAAATGAGGCTCAGAGAGGTTACAGCCTTAAAAAGTAAGGCTAGGATTTGGACCAAGGCTATCTGACTCTCAAGCCCATTCCCTCAACACTAAACCATAAATAAACACAGAAAGAGACATTTTAAGGTAGAAACATGGAAGGGCTTATGTCACAGAATCCCATCCCGGGAAAACTCAAGGTCAGGTATGAATTTTTTGGTTATGTGATATGAAGAGATCACTTTTGTTTTTTTTTCCAGGCAGAGTTTCGCTCTGTTGCCCAGGCTGGAGTACAGTCTTGCAATCTTGGCTCACTGTAACCTCTGCAGTTCAAGGGATTCTCCTGTCACAGCCTCCTGAGTAGCTGGGATTACAGGCACCCGCCACCATGCCCGGCTAATTTTTGTATTTCTAGTAGAGATGGGGTTTCACTATGTTGGTCAGGCTGGTCTCAAACTCCCGACCTCAGGTGATCCACCCGCCTCGGCCTCCCAAAGTGCTGGGATTACAGGCGTGAGCCACTGTGCCCGGCCAACTTTCTACGAGAAGAACATCCACATACCTCAAGCAATTCTTACACCACCCTGTAAAGTTCTACAGGGACAGTGCTAGTTGCTCCATTTTACAGATGAGAACACTAAAGCTTGGAGGGGCCAAGCCACTTGCCCAAGGTTATACGGTTTATCTGAAGATGGGATGGGAACTGAAACGAGGTCTTCGGAGTCTGCAGCTCCCAACGCTGCCCCACGTAGCTCACCCTGTGTAGACAGGACCCCGGGCAATACTGCCCCAATGTCATCATCCTGTCCAGAAAACCTTTCTTTTGAGATCCAGGCCATTCCTCTCTTGCACTACTTCTTTCCCTGCCCGCTGGTGGTCTGTCCTAAGCTGACCTACCCATAGGAGGACGCTTAGAGAGGAACCCTTGCGAGAGGGTCATCTCATCCCCTTATTTTCAGATGAAGAAACAGAGGCCTGAGGGGGAGGAGACTGATCCCAATCTCTCCTGGTGTCCAGCCTGTGCCCACTACCCCCGCTGCTTCTTTTAAGGAACGGAGCCTCACTGGTACCAGCTGCGTGCACCACACCACCTGCCTCGCCCTACCTTGCCGATGACGTCATTGCGGCTGAGCCTGTCCTTGTCCATGACAGTGATAATGATGGTCGTCTCCCTCAGCTTCTCCGTGGGGATATCGAAGGCGAAGGACTCATTGAAGATGGGGTTCAGGTTCCTCTTCATCGTCACCGTCTTCTTCTTCTCCACCCGCTTGTCCTTGTACATCAGCCACACCTTCACGTAGGGGTCTGGGGGAGGGAGTGGGGAAGAGTTAGAGGGACCATGGGGGAGGGACTTCCTAAGATCCCGTTCCCCTTCCAGGAATGGAAGCTGAGGCAGGAGGGCCATGTGCTTTCCCCAGAGGCAAGGAGAGACCCAGGCAAGAACAAGAGGGACGTGGGAGAATCAGCAGATGGACCTTAGCGATCACCTGGGCCCTCCTGTTACTACCAATGAGGAAACTGAGCCCCAGAGAGGCCAGGTCTTGTCCCAAATCTCACACAAGTAGCATCAGAGCTGGGGATAGAACCCAGGTCTTCCCACAACGTTCCCTTTCTTCCTGATTCTGGGAAGAACAGAGTCCAGGATGATGCTGACATCTTGACTCTTGAACAGAGTCCAAGATGAGGGTGCTCCAAAGGGGGCCCCCAAGGCCTCTAGGGTAAGGAGTGAGGACTGGAGGTGGGGGTGTGGCAGGTTGGGGTGAGGACCGCTGCAGACCCTGCTCTCCACATCCAGTGTAACCTTGTGTCACCTCCTCTGCTGGAGGAGCCCCGTACCTGATGTGCCCCCGATGTCCATGGCTTTGAGGTTCCGGGCTTTGATGATGTTCACGATGATGGAGTTGGCAGAGGGGTTGTAGCAGAGAGACAAGAGCAGCTCCCCTCGGCTCCCCTGGGAGGCACAACAGGAGGGGTGTGGGGAACTAGGCTAGCAGAGCTCTCTGATTGGTCCAGCTGCCCCCAGGCCCCCTCTACCCTGACCTTGGCGCTTACCCATGCCCCTGTCTGTCACCTCTGTCTCACTCTGTCTCCCCTCCTCTGGCAGGTGTGTGTACTGCCCCTCCCAGGTCCACCATCTCCTCTCTGTTCCCTGAACACAGCCCTAGGTTCCTTCTTACAGATCGGGGAAGTCCCCCCCAAGTGCCAAGCACCAGTGCTCTGACTACTAGTGAGGACTGAGCTCCATCGGGCCTGCCCATCTGCACCCTCTCCCACAGCCCTCCTGGCCTTTCTAAGGTTGACGAGGGTCTGGGACCAGATCTCCCAGCCCTGCCCTGCTGCTTGTCCAGTTAAGGCCCACCCATGGGGCCTTACACTCCCATCGCTGCATGGCTTCAGATCCTTCCAGAAGGTCTGCATCTGGGTCAGGTCCACCTTGTTAAGGGGGATGGACACCTCCCCGATGGGGTCGTTGCGGCTGAAGCGGTCGTAGTCCAGCACTTGGAGGTAGAGGATCCTCTGCACCACCTTCTCATAGGGAAAACCTGGTGGTATAGATGGGTGCGAGTGAAGAGGGGCACAGAGGGGCCACATGGGGCCCGGGAGGCAAGGAAGGCCCTGGGAAGAGGAGGCAGGCCCTGTGCCCTCCCGCTGCCACCCCACCAGGCCAGCAGGCACACTGGATTGCAGTTAGACCTTACTGAAGTGCTAGCAAGAACTGTCACCGTCTCATGGGGTTCCCTCAACAATTCTCCAAGATGAATGGCATCTCGTCCATCTTACAGATGAGGCTCAGATGGCTTAAAGTACTTGCCCAGAGTCCCAGCTAGTAAAGAGTAGAACTGCAATCATCCATTCACCCATGCACCTTGTGTCCATCTCAGTGGCTGAGCAGCCGCTGCCAATCGTCCTGAGGCAGGTCTGGGCAAGTGGCTCTGCCTAGGTGGCCACAGCTGCCAGTACGCAGGCCCCAGGAGGACCCAGGGCAGAGGGACATGGGGAAGCATCGTTGGGAGGGAAAAGGCAAAGGCACAGAAGCAGGAGGTGACAAGTGTCCTGTGACTCGGCACCCCTCCTCTCGCCTGTGCTTCTGTCCTTCCTCCCGCAGTGTCCCCTTCTCTACTGCCACCTCCCTCGTCCAAGCCGCTGGCACCTCTTGCCTAGGCAGCTGCAAGCATCTCCAAACCGCCCTCCCCGCATCCATACTTTCTCCTACCGTCCATTCTCAACGCGGCAGCCAGAGAGATCTTTTAAAAATAGAAATTCCATCATGATGTGCTCCTGCTTAAAGCCTTTCAATGGTTCCCAGTGCACTTAGAATAAAAGCCGGGCACCCTACCTTGGCTTCAAGTCCTTCCACAATTTGGCCCGGCTGTCCTCTCCCTGCTTGGCTTGTGACCGCTCTTCACTCAATGACTGGGCTCCAGCCACATCGGCCTCCTTCCTGGCCCTTCAACAACCCTACTCCTCCCGCCTCGGGGCCGGGTGCACACTGGCCCCACCATACGCCCCCCTTCTGGTTACTCTCATCCTTCAGGTCTCAGCATTCTTTCCTGGCACCCCAGACAGTGTCAGATCCCATTATACGCTCTAGCACCTTTTCTTCCGCGAAACATATCACACACGGTAATAGATTTCTCTGTCTCTTTCCCTGATTTTTGTCTGGCTTTCCCGGAAGGCAAGGATTCCCAGAAAGGCCTCTCTGTTACCAACCACTGGATCTCGGTGTCTAACACCGTTTCTGGCACATAGTAGGCACTCGATACATATTTGTTAAGTGAATGCATAATTGAACAGATGAATCAATGCCAATGAAATGGCCTGATGGAGCAGCAGGACTGTGCTGAGGTGAAGTGGCAGCTAAGGTCAGAGGGAGAGGAGCAGACGGGGCTTGCATGGGATGGAGAAGGGAAGAGGGGGCCAGGTGAAGGTCTGAAGCCAGGAGTCATGAGCTCTTGGGAGGCTTAGTCAGAGGTGGGGCTGGCCCAGGAGGTGCAGGGGGCACAGGCCAGCCCGGAGGCCTGAGGTGAGGAGATTCTGAACCCAGGTGTGAGCAGGACGGAGGACGCCTGGAACCTAAGCCTGGCTGGTGCAGAAGATGAAGGGAAGGAGGAGCCCCGGAGGATTCCAGCACCTTCCCCCAGAGACTCTGGAAGCACCGAGGAGCTCCGACAGGAGCAGGTGAGTGGGAAGAGGAGACGCTCTGAATTTGTTCAGGGTCCTTTTCCTCATATTGTGGGAAGCTGTGTCCTGCTTATTTCAGAGTCCCCCACGGACCTTGCCCAGGGGACCCCTGGCATCAATTCAGGTAAAATGCATGAGGACAAGTGTTCTGGGAATACTGGAAGCTCCAAGAAGTCGCTGCACCCCAGTCAGCTCTCATCAACACCAGAGGAGGCAGGCTCCTAGCTGGCAAATTCCTACTCATCCATCAGAACCCATTTTGAATGGTCCCTCTTCTGGGAAATTTTCTTCAGCACCATCAAAGGGAGCTCATACTGGCTTCCTGCAGCTCCTGTCATGCTGCGTGTGGCTGGCTTATCTATACATCTGTGTCTCCATTAGGCCAGAAATGCCTTGAGGGCCATAACGGTGCCTCATTCTTTTCTACACCCCCGGAACCTAGAAGAGTGCCCAGCTCGTGGTTGTTGCTGGGCACACGCTCGTGGAAGAGACTGGAGGATTGGAGTTCTGCTCAAAACCTTCGCCCTGCCAGCTGGCTACCTGTACCTCCAGACAGCTGAACCTCTCGCTGGTTGAGCCATCTCTAACCTGGCCCTCGTGGTGCCTGCAAAGGAGGGCATCCAGAAGCACACGGACACTCACTGCTCACCCTCAGTGCCATTTAGTGGGTGACCTGGCTGTCACCTTACAGAAGAGGTGGGGTGCTAAGTGGGTGGGACGGCAGGTGGGGAAAGGTCCCTGGGGTACGCGGTGAAGATTCTGGAAGGCTAGGGCTTGGGGCAGCTGGAGTAGGGATCTACTCCCCTTGGATGAATGGGGAGCCATTGGCAAAGGGTTACAGCTTCTCTAAGCGGGGTCCTAGCACCCAAAGGCCCTGGGATAGAAATCACTGCTTAATCGCATGCCCAGCTTCCTGGTTACCTTGAATCCTCAGAGATAAGAGATAAAGACCGGCCTTCAGAGGGGGCTTGCAGGAGAGAGAAAGGACATTTGTCTCCGCGGCCTCCAGGCATGGTTCAGAGCTGTTGTTCCTGTCCCATGCGAGGGAGGGGGGCAGAGAACGGCAACAGATGGCGTGTGTTTAACAACCTGGTATCAAGCATTTGCTGGGTGTCAGGCACTGTTCTAAGTGCTTTTACAATTCACTTATTTGTTGAACCCTCACTATTATTATCTCTATTTTGTAGATGAGGAAACCAAATCATAGGGAGGCTCAGGAACTTGCCCAAGGTCACGCAGCGAGTAAGTGGCAAGAGCTGAGATTCAAACCCAGACAGCCTAGGCCACGGCCTGTGCACTGAACCACTATGCTCTGGTGGCTCCAGGGTGCTCCAGCTCTGAGTCCTGTGGGTGCCTCCCTCCCTCCCTGCCCTCCTCAGGATGAGCTCTGTGTCTGGACTGAAACACCAGGTGGTGGCCCAGCTTCCCTCCTCGGCCTCTGGCTGTGATGCTGGCTCCACTTGGCTCCTGTGACCTGATCCCAACTAGACACAAAATGCATCAGGTTAACCGGGCCAAGTCATTGCCTGTGTGGGCATTTGTGAGCGCACGTGTATGGATCTGTGCCTGTGCACGCATGCAGGTGTGCACATAAGTGTATCTGATTGCATGTGTTTGTGCATTTGTGGGCCTGCAGGTGTGTGCCCATATGCATCTGTCCATGTGACCACATGTGTGGTTGGGTAGGGGGATGGTGGACGGCAAGAGGTGATCATGGCGGGGGAAGGGTGGCACTAGCCTCACCTTCAAAGAGAAAGGTCTCGTTCCAGTGGGGGTTCAGGTTCTTCCGCTTCACCTTGGTCTCCAGCTTGTGCTTCTTGTCAGGTAGCAGGTAGATCTTGACGAAGGGGTCACTGGTGCCGCTGAAGTCCTTGGCCGGCAGCTCTTGGGCCTTCATGATCTTCACGGTGAGCGTAGACTCCTGGAAGTTGTAGCCGACGCTGAACTGGATCCGGCCCAGGTTCTCTCGGCTGCAGCCCTCGTGGGCCTCATCCTCCTCGGAGCCTGGGGAGAGCTGGGGGTGGGGGAGAGGCCGGCAGGGTTGGGGAGGACTCTGCTTCCCCCATGTCCCCACTGCTGGCCAGTACAGGTAAGAGGCCAAAGGTGGTGGCCCAGCCACATCCCATGGACATTGCTCAGGCTCAGAGGGCAGGTGCCTTGACCGGGGTCTCCCAGGAGGGGAGGGGAAGGGGGGATGGCAGAGCCTAGACAGCTCTGTCTCCTGAACCTCAAAGCCGTATGCACGACACCCACCTCCCAGGCTCTCCTCGAAGCCCTGGGTCTGCCGCCGGCCCCAAGCTCCAGTTCCGCTGCCTCGCCTTCCTGGTTGTAGCTGCCCTGGTGCGTGCTGGGGTTCCCGAGCCCCCCAGACCTCCCTGCCCTCTCGTGGCACGGTAGGACCAACTGTGGGATGCACTGACACAAACCTGGGCTACACAGCAGATGAGGGAGGCTGCTCGCATCAAAAAGAGTGTACCGCAACAATTCTTTGCAAAGTGACTCTCTAGGGTGCGGAGAATGATGTGATTTACAAAATGAGAGAGGCAAGTTTTCAGGAGCGATGTCTGTTTGTGTAAGGTAAAATCACCAGGGACAAGAAAATTGCAGACCCCCCAGGCCCTGTCCCCAAGCACTTTGACTGGATGGGGCTGGTGTGGGCCTGGGCATCAGTGCTGGGTAAAAGGCGCCTCAGATGACTGTACTGTCCATGGGGGCTGAGGAGTGCTGGGAGGGAGGGCGCTTGGGCTGACCCAGGAACGGACAGTCACACAGAGGCAGGGTGGGCATCTCATCCCATCCTGACATCCAACCACAGGAAGCAGCCGGGAGGAGGGTCTCCCAGCCACATGTCTGAACCTGTGAGCACACTGGTAATACCTAGGAGGTTTTGGAACGCTGCCCACCCTCCAGCCGCCTGAGTGCAGCCCAGACCACTGATCACAGCAGACGCAGTTAGGGGGCTGCGTGGCTCAGGTACCCCTGGCTCGAAAGTCTCCCATGATGACTGGATGAGAGACAGGAGTAGGACCCTGGGTACCACAGTTAAGAAAAACTGCAGGCATCCGTTCTCTCCCCCGCTTCCCCTGTAGAAACCTGCTCTGTGCCCTCTCCTTCATCCTCGAGAGGCAGTCCTAGGCTCTGAAAGACTAAATAATGCAGATAATAATAATGTATCCAGTGCATTCTTGCCATGACCAGCGACTCTCCCATCGCCGTCTCCTTACTGAATCCTGGTAATAGCCAGGCGAGGCAGGTGGCACCACCCTCGCTGAGGAGACTGGTTCAGAGAGGTTAAGTCACATGGCCAAGACTGCACAGCAGTATGAATCCTCTCTGACTCAAAATCCTGCTCTTTCCACTGAAGCAGGCCCATACCGCAGCACAACACTGAGGTTTCCCCTCAAGCTGGCAAAGACCTGCAGACTCACCGTGCCAGGTGAAAACCGTCGGAATCACACTCGTGAGAGGTTTTTGTTTTTGTTCTTTTGAGACAAGATGTTGCCAAGGCTGGAGTGCAGTGGTGCAATTACGGCTCACTGCCACCTCCACCTCCCAAGGTCAAGCGATTTTCGTGCCTCAGCCTCCCGAGTAGCTGGGACCACAGGCGCACACCACTACGCCTGGCTAATTTTTGTCCTTTTAGTAGAGGCAGGGTTTCACCATGTTGGTCAGGCTAGTCTCTAACTCCTGGCCACGAGTGATCTGCCCACCTTGGTTTCCCAAAGTGCTGGGATTACAGGCATGAGCCATGCACCCAGCCTCACACTCACAACAGTAACTACCACGAACTGGCTGGCCGCCTGTAACCTGTGCCTTGTCCTCACTGACCTCTTACAACATCCCAACGAGGCAGGCACTCCCGCTAGAACACTTTCCCGGTGTTCCAACTGTGGCTGCCAGCACAGAGAGGTTGGGTCACTTGCCTCAAGTCGCCTGCGATTGAATGGCCAGTGGGAACGGAACCCAGTTGAGCGGCCAGGAATCCTGAGTCCCTTCCACCTGCGCCTTGCTCTTGCACTCAGATCTAGAGTCTGGGGCTTTACCCCGGTCCTGCCTAGTTGGGGGCACCGCGCTACCTTACAGCAGAAGATGCTCCCTCCAGCCCCCACCCCTTGGCCAATCCAGATAACCCCTTAAGCCCCACTGCAGGCCCATGGAGAATGTGGTTTCCCTGTCCACAGTCTGCTTTTCCCCAACGCTCTTTTCTCTGCTTATGCCAGCCCCACACGCACTCTTTGACCCTGTTTTTACATCTGCAGAGTAGGGACCATGAGACCTACTTTGAGGGGTCCTGGGAGAGCTAGAAGGGGTCCCTTCTAGAGTTCTGCCCCGTGACCTGACCCACTGGCAGAGGGACCGAGCACCTGGGGCATAGCATGTGTAGACAGTGCCAGCAAAGACCACTCGCCCGCCCCCTTGCTTCTAAAGTTGGGGTGGAGTTGCTGATGACCGGAGCCCAGGTGGCCCCCGCCCCACCTGAGGTTCCTCTGGTCCCTTGGCTCTAGGCTCCCAAACGGTGTGGTCTTGGGAAGGCCTGGGCTGGCCAGGTGGGTTTCACCTGGGAAAGGGGTGGCAGCTCTGTGCCCACTCCCAGCCTTAAGCCACAGCCCTGAGCCCTAATTACTCAGCTGGGGCAGAGCCATCTCTTTGGCAACCAGGTTGGCCACCCCATCACAGTCAGGGAAGGTGCTTCCCGAGCCCTTGCAGAAGTCAGCCTCGAAAAGCAGCAAGCCATCCCTGTACCAGGGCAGCAGGTGCCCAGAAGCACGTGTGGCCTCGCCTCTTCTCAGACACCTCTGCCCCTCGGCCCCTTCTCTGGCCAGCTCTGGGTGCTTAACTCTTGTCTCTCGACCCCCAGATTCCACAGCCCAGGGTCCGGAGACTGGGACAGGCTGAGGTCACAGTGGGCTGATTCTGCCCTGCTTATCTTATCATGGCTGTTAACGTCAACGGCCTAGCATTGGCACAGAGCTGTGCCATCAGACTCTGCCCTCCCACCTCTGAGCATCTTCCCAGCATAGGAGAGGGAGATGGGGCCTGCGCTTCCTTCTGCAGGCTGCAGCTGTCGGCCCCTCCCTGGGGGCAGCAAGGGGCAGGCAAGCTGGCTGTGAAGGGGCCGTCCCTTCTGGGAACCTGGCTACCGGGAATCTGTAACCAATTAAGGGGCTGTGCAGGGAGGCAGGGTGGGCTGTGGTAATGGCCCATCCAGAGGAGAGGACAGCCAGGGTCAGTCTGCCTGGGTGGGGGAAGATGGAAGGAGGGCAGTGGAGGGCCAGACACACAGGGGCCTGGCGGGCGGGGAGAAGGGGAGAGGTGGGGAGGCCCAAAGCGACCAGACCTAGGATGTGGAAAATCTGATGCTCTAACATGGATTCAAGAAAACCACAGGATAGGCCAGGCGCGGTGGCTCAATGCCTGCAATCACAGCACTTTGGGAGGCCAAGGCAGGTGGATCATTTGAGGCTAAGAGTTTGAGATCAGCCTGGCCAACATGGTGAAACCCCATCTCTACTAAAAATAGAAAAATTAGCCGGGCGTGGTGGTGCACTACTGTAATCCCAGCTACTCGGGAGGCTGAGGGAGGAGAATCGCTTGAGCTCGGGAGGCAGAGGTTGCAGTGAGTTGAGATTGTGCCACTGAACTCCAGCCTAGGGGATAGATGAGATTCTGTCTTAAAAAAATAAAAAATAAAAAATAAGGAAAAAAGCAGGCTCTTAGGCCCCACCAAAGGCCCACTGACCAGGAATCTGCATTTTAACAAGGTTCCTGGGTGATTCTTGCACACATAGCAATTTGAGAAACGCCAGGCTAGAAGGGGCAGTGGGGATGGATGGTTAGAGCTGGCTGGAACTCCAAATGGCAGAAGGGTGGGGGCTCTGGTGCCAGGGCAGTGGGGGAGGGGTTGGGAGCTCCCAAGCCTACTTCCTTCTCTCTAGAGAAGCGAGAGGTTCAATCCAAAGAGATGAAGCGTCCCAGGTCAAGTCCAGTAGGAACAGAGCAGGGCCTGGATTCCCAACTTCGTCCCCTCTTCAAGCCTTCCTGGGACTTCCGACCTTTAACTGATCTCTGTCTGTCAATCTCCCCAGTTTTCTCCCTCCAGGACCTCTTTGGAAAAGTATAGGTGGAGCAAGTGGCTGTGACTCACTGCTGCCCCCGTGGGGGCACCGTGGGAACCACAACCTCTGTCTGGGCCAAGCAACCTAGAACTAGGATCCCACAGGGTTGGAGGCCTCTGATGGGGCACGGGTGTGGACAGCAGCACCCCATCACAGCTGTCCCTCAGAGGAGCTGGGACCAGTGGATTCCTGCTCTCCTGTTCTCAGGGGCCTCTAGCCATGGGAATGGGGGAGGTCGCAGGCTAGGCCTTCCACCCCAGACCTCCACTTAAGGGGACATCACTCTTGGGAGGGGACACCTTCTGTCCTGAGTCCTCTGCCCACCAGCCTTTCCCTCTAGGATCCTGCAAGTATCCTGCATGAGTGGGTTTTCTTTGGTCCCTTCTCAATCCACAAAGGGATCAAAGCAGGATGGGAATTCTTATTTTCACTTGTCAAAGGAAGAAACTGAGACATGGAGAAGATATTTTGATGAAAGAGCTGGGAAGCAAACCCTGGCCTTGCACACTCAGTCACCAAGCGCCGAGTGGCCACCATGCTGGGCCTGGCTCTACAGGCTGCTTCTGACCTGGTTCCCCTGCCTGGCCACTCCCATGCCATTGCTGGTTCCTACACACGTCCCTCTTCTTCCTGCCCCTGGCCTCCCAGCCCAGTTCCTCGGAGCAGCACAGGCTCCCTCATTCTCACCATGAGCATCTCGCTGGTGAGGGAGTTGACGAGGTCTGAGACGGAGGAGTGTGGCTCGGTCCGGCGGTCGGACTCATCGTGGGGTGTCTGGCCTGGCACGGGGGCTGTGTTCACCGCTTTCCCTCCTGCAGGCAACCTGGGGGCAGGGGAGTCCAAATGAGATTGGGCTGGGAAGTGAGCTGGGTTGGGCACCCTGGCCTGAGGGGCGGCAGGACCTTCTCTGAAGACCCCAGCAGCTGCCATCCCCCGAGGGCCAGCAGGAGCGGTACTCCTGTCCACATGGACACCTGGTTTTCCCTGGAGACCCATGCCTGGGGCCCATTCTCCTTGCAGCCTCTGCCCCAGGCGACTGTGGCTTAACTACTCCTATAGGGGATATTTGGGGGAAGTGTCCCCATTCTTCCTGTTCCCCAGAAACCCCCCACCCTCCAGTCACTGGCTTGCATAGTTGGTCTGTGAGCTGGCCACCGCCCCCACTCCCCAGAGGCTTGTTCTATCCCATCCGCCCCCAGCCTGGAAGGGGGAGGCTCCGCCGTGGTGTGGTGTGTCCAGGTGCCTCTCTGCGTCATTACCCTCTGCAAACACACCCAGAAGGTCTGTCTCCCAGATGCCCCACCTGTGTTTGCTTGGGCTCATCAAGAATCCTCTTCCCACCCTCTAGACATGAGACTGACCAGGTGAGGTCAGGACAACTCTCCACAGTGACAGAGTATTCTGTATTTGTGCTGTCCAGTGGAAAAGCCGCATGCCGCATGTGTGCATTTGAGCATTTGCAATGTGGCCAGTGTGGCTGAGAGCTGAAATTTTAATTTTGTTGAATGTAAGCTCATTTAGGTTTAATGGCCCCATATTGGATAGGGTGAGTCTACACCCCCTTGTTCCCCAGTTCCCATCCTTCTCCCACTTGCTGAAGACTGTGCATTTGGTAAGGCTCTCACCCAGGGTCACAGAAAGACAGGCACCACCAAGAAGCCCTGTCTGCACCTCACTCCATGACGTTCCCAGGATGCTGGGCTCTTTGACCTAGTGGCTGGGCGGTGAGCCCAGGCTCCGTTCAGCTGGGGATCAGGAAGGGGCACTAAAAGCCTGCCCAGGGACCAGGCTGGCATGTCCCATGAGGAGGAAGAGAGGTGGAGGAAGGCAGGGAGGAAGAGACGGGGGACCAGTAGTATGAGGCTCAGGACAGGCTAAAATAGAACAGCTTTGAGAGCACACAGCCACAAACTGGGAGCCACACGCTGAGGGTGGACATGAGCCATGGCCCTCGGGTAAAGACCAGCCTCCAGTACATAGGCAACCATGACAGGCACAGACAGACATGCACAGAATATGCCAGGCCCTGGAGGGGAGACATCAGGGTCCCAAAGCAGGGTGCGTGTGCGCACACACACACGCATGCACACACGTACACACAAAGCATGCACACACACATGCACACACACACACACATGCATGCACACACACATGCACACACACACACATGCATGCACACACACATGTGCACACGCAGGCACACACATGCACACGAGCCTCACAGACATCCAGAGGGGCAGGGAGAGGATGGCAGGGGCCACAGGCAGGCCAACCACAGCAGCAGTGATGACACACATACAGCGATGGCACACAGGGATCCCGAGAGGAGACGCGTTGGGGAGACCCAGGCATGCCACGTGTGCACGTGAAGGGGGACAAACTGAAACAGAAAGGGCAGGGAGTGGTTTCAGGGCCCAACATCCTGATTATCAGAAGCACGATACACCTGCTGTGAAAACCTGGCCCTGCCTCTACAACACGGAAACGCCCACTCCACCCAGCGACACGCGGGCGCCCCTCCCAGAGGGCCATGGCACGCATGGACATGTGGACACGCACGCACCACACACACACGCACAGGAGAGGACATGTGTTCACACGGGCAGGCAGGGGGAAGGAAAGGAGCCCGAAACAGCTGGAGAGGTAAAGTCAGGTTAGAAACAGAGTGGGAGAGCAGGGAGAGTGCGAGATTGGCTGCTGAAGGTATGAGAACGTTAGAGTTATTTGGCCACGCCGCAGCGTCGGCACAGCTGCCAAGCAGCCTGGGAGAGATGGTCAGCGCCACTGAAGCTGTCGGAGGTCACAGGACAGAGAGACAGAGGTGAGAGGCACAGAAAGAGGCAGAGGGAGAGGCCGAGGGGCCCATCGCCGGCCCAGGGCAGCCCTGTGAGGAGCAGATGGGAGAAAGGAGACAGGAGAGAGAGGCCAAGAAAGTTAGTCAGAGACGTGTGAAGGCTGCCGGGTGGACGAGGGAACAGGGAGGAGCGTGCGGCCAACAGGAGAGGCAGAGAGGAGGCGGGGGACACACACCGTGACAGAACATGGTGGCTTCAGAGTAGGGAGAGCAATGGGGGTGGCCTGGTCCCCGCCTTGCCCTGTCCCCCACTCGGGGTGGGGGTGGGCCGCGGTGGAAACCATTTGGATCCCAAGGAGCAGTGGTGAAACGATGGCAGACAGCATGAGGGGGTGGACACGAGCAGAGTGGCTGAGGGTGGAATGGGCACAGCAGGGCGTGGAGCCAGGGCCTCCCTCCCTCCCTCCCTCCCGGGAGTACAGTCTGAAGTGTGGTGCTGAGGCCCAGGAGCTGAAGGATCCCGGAGGGGGGACTTCAGGGACACCAAGAATCGTGGGGACAGAGGCAGTGACTGGCCCTCCCATCTCCTGCTGCTTGTTGGACACACTCCCACGCTGCTTGGAACCTGGAATGGCCACTCCTCCTCCCAGGGCGCTGTCTCCCATGAGCCTGCTGTTCACAGACCAAGGGGGCTGAGTGTCCTCCCCAGTGACAGCCAAGGGCCACTACCCCTTCCTCCAGAGACATCTGGTCAAGGGGTCAGCTGGGGAGGGAAAGGTGGGGCTGGGGTCAGAAGGGCAGACCCTGGGTCTAGAAGGAAAGGCTGAAGAGGGAGGGACAGCCACCCCAAGGCCACCACTCCAAAGTCTGAGGGTCCAGGAGCTCAGAGGGGTGGGGCCCTAAGCTGCCTGGTGCCCAGTGGGTGGTGCTGATGCCAAGCTTTGCGAAGGGGAGAGTCTGCTGGGAAGGAAGCATTGGATTCTGGACCCCTGTGGCCGCCCACCAGCCGAGAAGCACCCCAGTGTCCATGAGGAATGAATTTCCAGGATAGGTGGGCATGACGAGGCTGGAATGGCACGGTCCACTTGGAAAGTCAGGCTGGGTGGTGGCGAGGGCACACGGCCTCCACCCCCACACCCACCTTTCCCAGGAAGGCAGGGGACAAGCTGATGTGATGATCAGAAGGGATGGGTGTGTTAAATATGGAGTGAGACCTCAGTGGCAAGGAGGTAAAAATAGACTGTGGGTGACAATGGAGCCGGTTCATTAACACATGGGTGATGTGAAATCTTGTTTCCAGCCTGCTTCTGCTCCCTCACGCTTCACACCTTTCCCAGCACCAGTCTCAGCTTCTTAGTGGGCGTTCAGAGGACTCCAGCCACCCACTATGTCTTCTCGCCCCTGGCTCCTGGCCCTCCCAGTGGCCCTCTGACTGCCCTGCAGCTTAGCTTTGAGACCCTGGCTCAGGAAGTCACAGCTCCTGTAGTAGTGCCTAGGTGGGTCAGGGGTGGCAGGCTCCACTCCTCTGGTACCCCTGCACATGGGCTCAGGGCCTGACACCATTTGTGCCACTCAGTGAAAGACCTGGCCCCACTCTCTGGGGACTTCCAGCCTTGCCCACCACAGACCATGCAACTGTGGACTCAGGATGGGAAGAAACTGGGAGGGATGGTCTCCAGGAGCCACCAGAGGGACAGGCAAGCCAGCCATCTTGCCTCTCAGTCTATCCACCCTCCCTAGCCCACAAGCCCAGGGCAGCAGCCCGGGACAGTCCCTTCTGACCCCTGGGGCCTCTCAAGAGCCTCAGGATGGCCTGTCCAAACAGTCCCTGCCCAGCTCACAGGACACACGCCCCAGCCCAAAGGCCCGTTTCCCTCATGAAAAGTTTAGCATATCTGAGCCTGAGGGGCCATTCCTTAGAGGTTACCCTGTCCAATCCTTCACTGGACAGATAAGTGAGCAGAGAACCCAGAGAGGGGCTGTGGCTTGCCCAAGGCTGCAGAATGAGGCTCTGGCAGAACCAGAGCTGGAAGGCAGATGTCTTGGCTGCCAGGCCACATGCTGTCTTGCAGGCCTTTGGTCTGATGGGAAGCAGACCCGATCAAGGTGAGAAGCCCTCCTCCCATGATTCCCAAAGGCTAATTCATCCTGGAAACCACAGGTGTAGTCAACCCAACCTAAGGTCAGGCATCCACTGGCCCAGCTGTGGGATGTTGCCTGAACCCTGGGACCTCCCACCCTACCCCTTGCCCGTGAGCAGCGCCCTGCCCCCTCCTGAGACAGGGACAGTAGGAGATGCTTTCCTGAATTCCTGATAGCTGAGGCTGTGGCAGTTTAAATGCCCAGGCTTCTGTCTGGCCTGTGCTGTGGCCACATAGGCTATGCCCGGTCTCCATAGGGTCCTGAGGCCAGCCGCAGTGACAGGGAGCCCAACAAAGGGAGCCTCACCCTTGCTCGGGACAGCTGCCTTCACTGCTCCGGGCCCTCCCCAGCTCTCTCCTGGTGCCCCGGCTCAGGGGAGAACCTTCTGGTTATTTCTGGTCACCAGGTCTCTCCCATGCCCCAGACCCTCCCACCATGGGCTCCTCTTCCATCAGCCAAGCAGCCCAACAGGACCTCCAGGCAAGAGGGAGGTTGAGGGGGTGGGGATGAGGGAGAACAGGCTGGCGCCCCTTCCCTAACATCCCCCCCGCCCACCAACCACCAGAGAAACAGGGATTTCCGGTTGGGGTGGGGACAGAGATGAAAGATGGAGGGCAGCAGAGAGGAGCCAAGCAGGAAGATGGGGCAGAAAAGGCTGCGCTTGCTCCGGGCTGGGGCAAGCATGCCGGAGAGCAGGCCTGATCCAGAATGGTCCCAGGATGGCCACAAGTGGCCTCAGACCCCAGGGACACCACCAAGGTGGCTGTGTGTGAGGGCACTGGCTGGGGAGGGGGCTCGTCCTCCCGCTCCAGCATCCGCTGAAGGCACCACCACCTCATCCAGCAGCCGGGGCCGGTCGAGGCAGGCGGCCTCTCCGCGCCTCCTTCTCTGCCGCCGCCGCCGCAGGCCCTCGCCTGTGCTCGTACCTCTTGTCCCCCTGAGCGTTCTGGTTCTGCTGGGTTCCTGGGTTTTGCAGGTCAGGGATATTGGCAAAGTCATCCTGTTCCGAAAGCCCTAAGACCAAGGATAGCACCACCATCCGGCCTTCCCTGCCCGGGGTGGGCAGCCCACCGGCCAGGGTGAAACGAGGAGGCCCCGTGGGCAGGGGCAGGGGGGAAGGAGAGAGAGAGAGAGAGAGAGAAAGAGAGAGAGAGAGAGAGACAGAGACAAAGAGAGAGAAGAAAAAAGTGTAAGAAACTGGCCCTGCAGGAAAGAAAGCAAACTTCAGCACTGTCAACAGTTGCAGGCTAGAGTGGCGAGAGTGGGGGCAGGGAGGGAGGGGAGGTGACTATGGCCTGAGACTCCACTGGCCCGAGCCAAGAGCAAGATTCTCCAGAGCTAAACTGCAAGGGGCTGGGCAGAGGCCTGCAGAGGTGGCCTATGGCTGGGACAGTCCCAAGGGAACACAGGGGGTAGGGTGGGAGGAATGGAGCATAGGCCCTGGGACCCCACAGATTTTCAAAGGCTAATGCATGCCCAGCTGGACTCGCTCTGACCATCTGGGCCACTGGGAGAAGAGGGAGGGGCTCCGTCAGTATCGGGCTCCGTCAGTATTCTGCACCGGCACCACGCAGGCTTAGAAAGTTTCAAAATCCAATGGGTACTGCACCCTGTCCTTATGGAAGCCCTTCATAGACAATGCTGTCACGGTCAACCAGATGTCCTTGAAGCCAGGCAGGGTCTAAGGAGCTACCTCCCCTAGGCTCCTGGATAAACAAGCCCATCAGAGGAGAATGAAAGTCCTTTGTGGTATATGGCAACTCGGCCACAGTGGCTGTCTCCTGTGTCCTCCTTGCTGGAGATCCAGGGAATGTGCACCACCGCTGAGTCCAGGTCAAGGGCCTTTCATTGGAGAAGAGGTCCAGAAGGCACCGCAAGCCAACTTTCTTGCACGGCAAGAAAGTGCAGGAACTTGGCAAGGTCTGGAGAAGTTTTGGCAGGACTGCAGGGAGCCTGTGCCTGCAGTGAGAGATCGCACGTTGAGGGAGCACAGTCAAGGCTGAACAGGCGGGGGGTAGGCAAGAGGGCGAGACTCTCTTGGAGTGGACATGTGGGCAGCTGTATGAGGCCAGGTGTGACACCGTTAGTAGGGGCATTCTCAGAGAACCATTGGGCAACTTGCCAGGGTCTTTGCGAGGTTACCCGCATTTGCCGGGGGGGAAAAGGGAGCATCAGTGGTGACCCTGCTGTCCCTGAAGGCCATCAGAGTCTGTGAGCGTTTTCTGGGTGCTTTGTGGAGCTCCTCCAGCGTGGGGCCTCTCATCAGAACAAAAGGAGAGGGAGGGGTTCTCGGACAGGCCAGGCAGGAAAGCACGTCTCAAGAAGGGCCAAAGGGAAGACAGTAGGGCTGACGGAATATTCTGGAAGGGAGAGGATGCTGGGTCAGGATGTCTACCACTTCAACCACTGTGAAGGGAGGCAAGGTTTACAGAGGAAGAGCTTGCTCTAACTTCTCAGAGCGGTTGTCAAAAAGGGAACAAACAGGTGAGAAACAGCCTCTGAGGTGAGGGACGAGGGCACGAGGGTCTTGGAAAATGGGACATTACCTCTGGGGTCTCAGCGAACGGAGGGAGCTAAGTGGCTGCTGTGCCCCTCCCTGTCTTTGCATCTTTGGTCCTGGGCACAGTTACTCCAGGCTGACCTTTGTGCTGGGATCTAACTTTCGGGAAAAAAACTCTGCCCCCTCCCTCAGGACAAATCCTCATTTTCTTTGTTTTCTGCCCACCGGTACTGTTTCAGAGTTGGTAAAATTCCATTTGGCTGCTCGGGAGCTAGTTGTGCTGGGGGAAGGCAAACTCAGTGAAAACAACATGTTTTTTCCCCGGTTAATGCATTTTTCAGATACTCCTTTTTCTCTTCTTAAAAACAGAACAGCTCCTCTGCATAAATTCCCGATTCGTCACTCTCTCCAGCTCTGCAGGCCGCGAGGCTTAGGATGAGGGGCAGGGGCTGGAGAGTGGAGGGAGAAGCTGGCAGTGTTAGGGGAGTCACGACCATCAAGCAGAGGGCTGCTGCCCTCCCTGCAAGGCGTAGGTGGGATCATGGGGGGCCAGGACAACCCTTGCCACCTGCTTCTCTACTGGAGCCACCAGCGTTTGGGCAAGAAAAGAGCCTCAGAAGCAGGGCGGCTAAATTGTAAGGCAGGGGACAAAGTACGGCCCACGAGCTAAGAGTGGTTTTTACATTTTCACATGGTTGTTTTAAAGAAAAAAAGAATGTGTGATGGAGATCACATGCGTCTTGCAAAGCCTAAATTATTATCTGGACCTTTCTAGGAAAAGTTGGCCGACCCTTGATGTGAGCTCTGGAGGTTGCCAGTGACTAGGGGAACGTGAGACTTGTCCTGGGACACAGAGCAGGGACAGAGGATGCTTCTGCATGTGCGATGCTGGACCAATCCTGGTTCGCTGAGAAGGCAGCAGGCAGGGAAGAGATGGTACCCAGGTTCCTGGCAGGCCCCTGGCCCAGTCTGATGGCTGCTGGAACAGGAAGTGGGGTGACAGCTGTGACAAGACAGTCTGAGGTGGGGAGCAGCAGGGGTGTGCAGGCGTCCGGAAGCCTCTCAGTCCTGTTCAAGCCTCTGTCCCAAAACAAACTGCCACCTGGCAGACGGGAGGCTTTTCTGGGCATCTCATCTTGTGCAGGCGTCCAGTTAGATTCCTGAAGGTCCTTGAGTGGGGTAGAGCCCCAGAGAATAGGGTGTCCTGATTTGCCAAGGAGAGTCGCAGGCAGCATGTCTTGCTGGCCATGGGCCACTCGCACAGGTATGGGAAGCTGGCATGGCAGGGCCTCTTCGGATGGGGTGCCTCACCCAAGACAGCGCTCCCATCTGCCCAGGAAGCCCTGGCTGAGGTCTCAGAGGAGAGACAGGACGCTCCGAGGAACTTGCTGGCCTTCAGAATCCCTACATCTTGCCAATGCTTCCCTTTCCTCCTCCCTTTCTCCTCTCCCAGGCTTAGTGTGCTGGTCTCCTGCTCCGTGAAAAGTGCTCCCAGGGAAGACCTGGGCGATGGGAAAAATCCCCAGGGCCTGGAAGGAAGCTCATGTTAGGGCAGAGGAGGGAGGTGATGTTGGGGATGGCAGCCCAGACCTGTCTTAGGCTCTGAGAGTGGGGGGCAGATGTCCAGAGGGATGCTGGGGAAGGGGCTTCCTGGGTAGGGCCCCTCCAGGGAGAGCAGGGGGTGGGCGAATGGCTGGAGGGAATGGTTAAGGTTAGACACTGATGGTGTGTTGTTACTTCTTAGACCTGTATGCTTGAAAGAAAGCTCCATTTAGAAACAACCTTTTCTAAAGCTTTGGGGCAACATCTCAGATTTGTCCTCAGGGGATGGGTCATTACTGGAGGAAGGAGACTTGGGAAGTCAGGGCGGGAGCTGGAGGACAGGTGGCTACAGAAGGTCAGAGAGATGGGGGAGGGCTGGTGGCAGGGACAGGGATAGAGGAAGTGAGAGGGAGGGAGGGAGGGGTGTGGGCCAGGAAGGCTAGCAGAGTCGGGTTACAGGGGAGAAGTAAATTGAAGGGGAGGAGGTAGGGCTGGAGATGAGTAGAAGGGATGGGTTTGGGAGCAGAGGAGGGAGAAGAGAGGTTGCAGGAGTGAAGGAAGACTGGCCGGGAGGCCAAGAGCAGCCTGGGACTAGCTGGGGAGAAGAGATGTATCTCAGGGCATTGTCCAGTGTCTCCACCTAACTTTTAGGGGGGAACTTCCCTAAAGGCAGGGGTCCTCGTGGGGAGGTGGCTCAGAATCCTTCCATGGTGGCCTTCAGGCATGAGCCACAAGAGGCTAAGGAGGGGGCTGCCAAGTCTGTTTGGCACCCTGCCAAGGGGATGGAGGGCCGGGAGGTACACACAACCAGCTGCTTCCAAGGAGATCTAGGGGGCAGGAGGCTGGGTCGGGGAGGTGGGGGCCGGCCCGCTCAAGGGGAGGACTTACAGGAAGGATTTCATGTCCAAGCCTCGGTTTCGAATCTGCCCCACCACGTGGTCCCAGCTGCCCGGGTTGGAGCGGCTGCGGCCCCCCGCCGCCCGGTACTTGGAGCCGGCCGAGGTGCCCTGCCGAGCCTGGCCCCGGCCATAGGCCCGGGGGTTGGGGCCCGGCGCCGAGGCCATGTGGGCCTGCAGCTGGCCCAGGCTCTGGCTGGTGGTGGGCTGGCTGGGCTGCCGGCCCCGCTGGTGCTGGCTCAGCGGCTGCTGCAGGCTCTGCTGCCGCATCAGGGTGCGGGGTCGCTGGCATTTCGGCTCTCCCGTGGAGCTGGGGATAGACTCAAGGGTAGTGGCCGTGGACAGGGTGGAGTCCTCGAAACTTGGGGCAGGTGGAGGAGAGGAGAGAAAGGAGAAGCAGGTGAAGGGATCACAGTGGAGGAGAAAGAAGCCGAGGGCCAGGACTAGGAGGCCCCAGTGCAGGGTGCGCGCTGTCGGACCTCGCCAGGCCTCCATCGGAGCTGTCGCCGCTGCCGTCGCCGCCACTGCCTCTCCCAGGAGGCTGCAAAGCCCTCGCACCCACCCTGAGTCCCCAGGTCGGCTCCGCCCGCCCACCTTCTGGCCCTGGCTCAGCTAGTGCCAGAATACCTTCTGGCTAAGCCGACCTCCCTGCTGGTCTGAGTGGGCTGCCAGTGCTGCCAAGGCTGCGTGGTGAAGGCAGGTCCCCCGGGCCCTGCGGCTGCCTGTCATGTTGGAGTGGGAGGGGTGGAGGGAGCTGCTGTGGCTCCTCCCGCTGTCTCGCTGGGGGACACCAGGAAAGTCTGCCTCTGTGTTATAAGTACTGCCATCCTTTGGAGACAGGAAGAAATCCAGGCCAGCACAGAGCTGGCCTAGTAATCCTGGGGAGGCCGGGGAAGCCATCAGTTCTTATACTTTGTCCACAGAGGTGAGGAAGCGGCAGACCTCTGCCCTGTGGCCAGCACCTCCTTAGGATTCAGGCTATGGCATGGATCTTTGCCCTCTTCCCAGGGTTCTTTGTTTCAAAGGTCCAGCATCCTCTCCTGGGATCTTGGAAGTATCTCCCAGTCAGAGGACTGGACCAAGGAAAGAGTGCAGACAGGGTGGGAGCCCAGTATCCACTCATCCAACACTTCACCACAGTTCTAGCAGAGAAGAGGGTGACTGTCTTTGATGCATTTGCAAGGGGGTGCTCTCCCACAGGCCCATCAGCATCTCTGAAGTGCACTGGGAAGTGGGGCAAGGACAGAGAACTAGGACATGGCTGGTCAGATTCTGTATAGCCTCATAGAGACCTGGGTTTGAACCCCACCTCTGCCACTTACTAAATATGGGACTCTGGAAAAGTGACTCCATCTCTCTGGGCCTCAGTTTCTTCATCTATGAAATGGGAGTAATAAAATAATCCCCGAGCTTCCTCTGTCACAGAGTTGCCATGAGGATCTAATGAGGTTCGGCTGTATTGAAAATGCTGTATTGGTAAAAGGTCCCCATGCCAGTGGTTGGAGTCCGAAGTCCCTGGCCTCCCCTGGAGAACCTGTCTGCTTCATGCGCTGGCTGGAGATTTCACCATATCCCACAGGCAGGGCCAGAGCCAGGCTGCCCCCAGGCACCAGAGCGGAGCCGGAGACTGGGCTGAAGGAGCAGCTTTGGGTGAATCATTTCTCATCTTGGAACTTCAGGGTTCCAATCGTCTCCTCCTCTGTCCCTTCCCTCCGCCTCTCAATCCAATGGCCCTGGGGAGGGGTTGGGAAGTCATTGCCTGTGGGCCACATCTGGCCTGCTGCTTGTCTCTGTAAATAAAGTTTTACTGGAACCAAGCCATTGGCATTAGTTTACATGCTGTCTCTGGCTGCTTTCATTCCACAATGGCAGGGTTGAGTCATTATGCAAGAGACTATATGGCTTATAAAGCCTAAATATTTTCCAAGTGGCCTTTTACTGGGAGTAAGTTTGCTGACCTCTGGTCTAGGGCCATGGGGCAGTCAAGTATCTCCCGGGCTGCCCAAGGGAGGAGGCGCCAGAGCCCTTGGGAGCCACTTTCACCACTGCAACCAGACCTCAGCTTTGCTCACTCTCTGAGCCTACCCTGGGAACCAAAAAACAACAGTTAGGCTACCCCTGTGGGCTGAGAGAGAGAAAGAAAGAGAGTGAAAGAGAGAAAGAAAGAGTATAGTAAAGAGAGAGCGAAAGAGAGAGAGAAGCAAGCAAAACATGGCTTTAGCTGGGGTCTTGGAGGGGTGGCAGCCTTGCCTGACTCAGGCCTGAAATCAGGGCTACCTCCAGGGGCAGGCCCAGGCCTGGCCGGCCAGGTAGGCCCACAGCTCCCTGGGGGCAGGTCGAGGCAGAGGGAGGGTGGCACATTGGCAGCTGCCTCCTCCTCCTCCTTGGTGACCTCATTTTGGTTTCCTATCACATCCAAAATTAGTCCAATTTACAACCTCTCAGTCACAGGAAACTAAAATTGGTTCCTCCAGGCCTGAAGCCAGAGGATGGCATGGAGGCCTAACTGGCCTGGAGACTGGCTGGGGCAGGCTGGGAGGGTGGGGCACTGGGCCAGGCTCTCTGAAGGGGTGTGTGGCTTCCCTGTGGGACCCTCCTGAGGCCAGATGTTGGGAGAAATTGGCTTGTGTGCACTCAAGCCAACTAGCGAACGAGATCTTAGTACAGTGGCCTTCAGTGCTCCCAATAGCAGGAACCACAGGTCTTCTGAAGAGAATCAGGAGGGCCCTCAGTTGAGGCAACAGGATGGCCCAACAGCTAGAAAGGGGCAGGGCTGTTGACCTGTTAAGTGGGAGGCTGCTCCATTAGCTGGGAGTTCCAACTTCTGAAAATGGAATTTATACCCCAAGGGAAACTGGTCACAGCTCAAAGGACTCAGGGTCTAGAAGGGCTCTACTGAGGGGAATCAGAAGTTTCCAAAGGCCAAGATGAGAATAAAGCTGCCCCATGAGAGGGGATATACTATCTGTGGAAAACAGGGGCCAATCCTACGTCCATCAGCCAAGAGTGGGCCTGACTCTTTGACTAGCTCAGACAGCTATTACAGAGGGGACGGCTCCTTCTGCCTGATGTCTAGAACACCCCATGACATCTGGCGAGTGAAGCTAGCTGGGGTTTGACAACCCAACCTCCAGGAATACATGGTCCCAACAGCCAATGGTGGGATAGCTCGGTAACCAAGACTGGGACAGCCAACAGGGATGGCTGAGATGAGGATGAACCGATGGGGCAGCCTGTGGCTGCTCGTGAGTGGCTTCCACAACAGATGATGTATGGTTCGAGCAAGACTGGGACAGTCAGTGGAGTCACCCCATGGTCAAAAATGGAATGGCTCAACTTCTGGGTCTACAGCCGTCTGCTGGCAGTAAGAGGGAAAGCCTGGGAGCTGATGGGTGACTGTCAGGTTGAGAGTGGGCCAGATACCCAGGATGAGATGGAACAACCACAGGCCTGCTGCCCGTGGAGGGATGACCTGGTGGCTGAGATGGGGCGGCCAATCAAAGAGGATGGGATGACCCGGAAACTGAAATGAAGCTGCCCTGGGGGCAGAAAATGGAATGACCTGGTCACTGGCAAAGGAAGGGACTGATGGGGCATTAGCCAGAGGCTGAAATGCATCACTGTATGGCTGAGTTCGTCGTGCCAAATGGCAAGGATGATGGGAGAGTCTCATGAAGGGATGGAATGAGCCAGGGGCCGAGGACGGCACCTCTGGGGGCAGCAGCGGGCATGCCAGGGGTCCCGCTGTCCACCCTGGCAGGGCAGGCCTGAGCTCACGGCTCCGGCAGCCATGGGGCGCCATCACTCACTTGGACAAGTTGAGCTTCCCTGCGGCCAGGTGGCTCTGCACCGTCCGCCAGCGGCCTCTCCCGGCCTTGCCACTGCTGCCCGGCTCGCTGGGGGCAGCCCCGCCGCTTCTCAAGGCGTCCTCTCCGGGTGGTGGCACCGGCGCCGGCTTCTCCCCCAGCCGGCCTTCCCGCTCCACCGCCAGCCCCGCCGCGGCGGCCACTTTGGCGCCTGACAGGAGGGTGCCACTGGAGGCATGCACAAGGCAGCCAGGCCAGAGGGGCACCGGGGGTGGCGGTGGGGGAGAGAGGGCGGGCCATACGTGGGGGTGGGGGGGTGGAAGAGGAAGAAAAACAACAACAGATAAAAGGAAGAAAGAGACAGTGAGAGAGGAGGAGGAGAGAGACAGACGGACAAGAGACAGACAGAGAGAGAGAGAGAGACATCAGCACTGCAAATGGGTTAACAGCGGAGCCTGCAGAGAGGAGAGAGGGGGACCGGGCGGGCTGGGGGTCGGAGAACAACGCACCACGACAACGGAGGGGGGGCCCCTCCCCACCGCCTGGGGCAGGGGCGGCGGGGGTTGGGGGAGGGCAGCCACCTCCAACTCTATCCCACAGGACAACGAAGGGTTAACGACGGAGGAAGAGCGGGCTGTCCAGGCCAGGAGGCCCCAAGGCAGGGAGAAAGAGAAAGCCGTGTTAGTCAGAGTTCATCACCACCACCACCACCATCACCGCCACCACCGCCACGAACCACCGACCACCGACCACCGACCACCGAGCAGCCACGGCAGCACACAGCGGGGAGGAAGAAGCGACCACAACCGAGGGGGCGGGACCCAAACGGGCAACCCCATCCTGACTGCACAGAAGGTGGGGTGGGCCCCGGGACCAGCTGGGGGGGCCAAGTATGGCTGCCGAGGGGGCTCTCCTACAAGGCTGGCCCTGGGGGAGGGGACAGGAGCGGGCAGGCAGGTGGGCGGGGGCAGGAGGGGTTGCTCGTCTCCATGGTCGGCCTGCCCATGGGGTGGATGGGTGGGGACGTTGGGGGACAGGAGCGAGAGGAGGGAGTGAGGGGGGCCAGGGGTGGGTGGGGGCGGGAGGAGGGAAGGAGGGCGTGCGCGGATACTCGGTACATATGATCAAACCAGGTAAAGTCACTCACTTGAGGGACAGTCGTGGGTCGCCATAAGGGGCGTAGGGTGAAATGTTTAGAATAAACTCCTTGGGAGGGTAGGAGCTCCATTTCTGCTGCACTGTGCTCTCATTGTTATTCCAAAAGTCTCTGTCTAGATCACTGGAGGGGCAGAGAGAGAGGGGAGAAAACAGGGAGATACAAGAAGAAACAAGAACTGCAAGTCCTGCAGGGGCAGAAGGGACCAGGACCCCGGGGCCGGGCACACAGGGGGCGGGGTTTCGTGGTCAGCTCCTGCGGGAGGAAGAAAGGCAGGCGGGCACCACAGTCTGTGCCTCGCACACACACACACACGCACACATGTGCAAGCATACCCACGCACACACGCACGCACCCGAGGGCCGGGAAGCCACACAGAAAGGAGGCAAGCGGCAGGCGGCAGACCGGAGCCTCGCACCTGGGAAGCTGGTGGGAGAGAGAAAATGATGAGAGGCGGGGACATGGGGGAGAAGGGTTGGGGACGAGGCCCGGGGTGAGCAGGGGGAGTGGGAGAAGGAGAGTGCTGGTTTCTGGCTAGATGGAGCTGAAAGGCAGATCAGGCCCAGGTGCCAACTTGCTAGGCCCTACCTCTCCTGGCCTCAGTTTCCCGGCCGGTCAAAGGAGAAGACTGGCTGTAACTGCTATACTATCAACTCTCTCACTGTAGAATAAAAGCTCTAGTACAGGAGAACTCAAGGTTCTCTCCTCTTCCATGTTCTCTCCACTGAGGCCCTCCTGGGGCAGGCCCAGCCCCTTAACCATCTTTCTCCTCCTCCTCCTACTGGCCTGAGGGGCTCCCTGGCTTCCTCTGCTCTCTCTTCTACTCTGTGAGGCGGGGCTGCAGCCTTAACCTAAGACTGGGGGATCTCAGCTGAGCTGGAGACCATCTCTACTCCTTGCAAATGTGGCAGCTGGGTCACCCCACCCCCCTGAAAGGGGAGCATTCCCAGGCTTCTGACCTTGCTGAGGATGTCACTAAGATAACCAGGGCGCCCTTCAGTCCTTTGTTCTGGGGCCTGTGTAGCGGGAACCTGTCCTCTGGGTGTGTCCCTGGCCTGCCTGCTGGGGCAGCCCCTCCCTGGGTCCCTGTCCCTTTCCAAGGTGGAGCTGCTGGGTCTGGAAGGGACCTTCACCCCGGACTCTCCAACTTCTCCTGAGAACATGGGGACTTGCAGGTGGGGTGGGTGGCAGAAGCCTTGGCCGGTGGAGGGCACAGCCTGGGACCCCTGGGAGCCAAGGACAAGGGATGCCACCAGCTAATCAGGCCACTGGGACCCCAAGAAGCAGGGCTGGGAGTACAGGGGAATAGAGACAGTGACTATTCTGGAAGGCAGCCATGTTTCAGGCACGGGAATGCCTCTAGAGAAGAGGCCCCGGGAGGAGCACTGGGGTGGGCCTGGGGAGGACTGAGGCTGTGCCGCTCCCCAAAGCCAAGGTGGGGCAGTGTGGGGAAGGGTGCCATCAGGGGCACACACCACCCCCCAGGATCAAGCAAACATGTTCTTGTGGGACCTGCTTTTTCCTCCATTTAGAATTTGACCTTGACCTTGGTTCTCAACCTCAGACTCAGGCACAGAAGTGAGAAAGACGGAGAGAGGCTGAGCTGCCACCATAGGCCCAGATGAGATGGTGGCATTGGACATCCCTGGCGTAGACAGATTTCTCTGTCCAGAGTACACCCTGGAAATGTCTCACAGGGGACTCTGTGTACAGGGTTCAAAGCCAAAGTGTAGAGCCAGCTCACAGCGGCAGTAAGTGATGGGTATGAAGGAGGCAGGACAGGCCCCAGGGGAACCTAATCCCTTGACAAAAAACCCCCTTCCCACCACAGATGTCCCTTCCCAGCAGAGCCTCACACGAGGGTGTGGCTGGGGCACCCCGTGTCAGGTATAACAGAGATGGAGCAGGTAGCAGCCTCCCTTTCCCACTCCCTCCAGATCTCCAGAATCTAGGGCCACCCAACCCTAGGTCCCAGAAAAAAAATCCACCCAAAGCCACCGCTGCCGGACTTGTCTCCCACCCTGTGTTCTGAAGAGCTCCAGGGCCCCTCAGGTTTTTCCACTGTGGTACTGGAAAAAAGGATCTTTGATTAAAGAAATTTGGGAAACACTGATTCCTTTACTGCAGGGCTTCTCAGAGCCTTTAATGTGCCCATGAATATCAGTATCGCCAAGAGGGAGACAGTGTACAGTGTTCCCCAAACTTAGTCGACCATGAGACCCTTGATTCGTGGAACAGCTATGACTCATCTATGGGGCACAGGGGCCCTGAGGAACACAGTTTGGAAAGCACTGCTAAAGAACACAGTTTCCTAGAATCCTTGATAAGGCGATCCTTTGTGGGGGGTCCTAAGCCTGTGGAGGGCTGTGCAGGAAAGAGGCTCTCCCTCCTGTGACTCCACTGACTTGGGCCCTTTCTGTTCTCTTCTGGAAAGAAGGAAAGGCCGAGCTGCATGTAGACATACGTGGTAGCTTCCTTCCCTTGGGGCAGAGGGCCTGACCACTCAGCAGCATCAGGGGCAGGCTAGGATTGAGTGCGGGAGCTGCAGGACCACACAGAGGCAGGCTGGATGGCCGAGGCTGCCTCACCTTGTCTTAGAGAGCCCTCATGGGCACTGGTCTCAGCCTGGCACAGCCTGCTGCCCGCCCTCCCTCTGGTTGGGAATCCTGTCTCCTCTCGTGGGCCCTTTCCAGGACTCCAGGCCCTGCCACACGCACCCCTATCCAGGAAGGTTATGATCACCTGGCAGAGACAGGCCCCCAGCCCTGGCCCGCGGCTGTAAACGGCCTGTCCTGGAGGAGGCACAGGTGCTGCGCTGGCCATGCTCCCCCACGCGCTCTCTCGCCTTCAGAAAGCCCGGGCCTGCACTCTGCAAGAGCCCCTGAGCCCTGCCAGCACTTGGCTTTGAAGACTGGAGCCTGCGCAACCAACCCAGCTTCAAAGGCTCCCGAAGCCGCCTCCTGAGTCTCCTGCCCTCCCCCAGCCTCAGCCTGGCCCACCCCTCCTCTTGCCCCACCTCAGACACATGCACACAGATTCTACCAAGGCCCCAAACAGGATCAGTGCAAGAGATGAACAAAATGGGGCAGAGGAGGGCCTGGAAGGGAGCCCTCGGGAGCGGGGTGCAGGGTAGGGGAATTGAGAAGAGAAGGTGGAGAAAGAGGAAAGGGAAGGGGAAAGATGCACAGGGGAAGGCAAGGGAGACCAGCAGTGGGCAAGGGCCAGAGGGCAGGGGAGGGTGGCTGGGCCTTCAGAGGGATGAAGAGTGGGGGTAGAGAGGGCTGTGGGCATTCAGCTTCTAGGCAGAGCCCTTTGGCTGGCAGGCTTGGTCCAGGCCAGGCTGACATGTAGGGCTACCACCCCTACCTTGACCTCTGGGTTCAGCAGAGAGGAAGGGGCTGGGGCCACTGACCAGTGGACACAGAGGCTTCCCCCTCAGCGAAAGCCTCCATTTCCAGAGCCTAGGTGGCCTGAGTCCCCAGCCAGGTGGGTGGGGGGCTTCTCTTGGTGTCTCCCAGTGACCTCAGCAGAGGGCTGGCTAAGATGGTCTGCAGTGGGAGGGCAGACCCCTTGAAGAGGGCTCTACAGCAGAACAAGGAGACCGGGGTAAGGCAGAGACAGCCACACATGCAGCGGCTGGTGGGGGTGACGGGGAGGGAGGGACTGCTCCCCAGCGCTCTGCTCCCTGAGTGGCCCAGCACAGGGGCCAGCTGGGGTCCACAAGGCGTGTCTGCCTCCCCACTTCCAGGTCATCCTTAAACACTGGCAGAATCTGAGAAAAGAACCTGGGGTCTACTAGGGAGAGGCCTCCCTGGCCTAGCAGCAGGGGCCCCAT